GGCTGACTGACTGACTGACAGAAAGAAAGACAGACGGACGGACAGGCAGACAGATGCGGGCGGGAGGATCGCTGCGAGGTGAAAGGGGGCCGGCGCCAGGCGGCACGAGCCACGCAGCGACGCTGACCAGCGCACGGGCAGCGGCAGCCGCTGGCTGTCCCGCGTTGGCGGAGCTCGTCTCTCCTGCCCCTTCCATCCCCTCCTCACCCTCCTCCTCCTCGTCCTCGTCGTGGTCCTCCTCCGTCTCCGCCTCCCTCATCCTTCTCATTGTCCTCGCTTTCCTCCTTCACCACGTCCCCCTCCTCTGCATCCTTACCCTTGCCCATCTGACTTCCTTTTCCCCCTTCTCCTCTTCCTCCTCCTCCTCCTCCTCCTCCTCCTCCTCCTCCTCCTCCTCCTCGTCCTCCTCCTCCCCCTCCTCCTCTTCTTCTTCCTCCGCCTCCTCGTCCTCCTCCATCGTTTCTCCTTGTAGACTCCTCCCGTCTTCAGGGGAGGGGGGGAGAGGAGAAGGAGGAGAAGGAAAAGGAGCAGGAGGAGAATGAGGAGCAGGAGGTGTGTGAAAAGGGCTGCTTGGGAACAGAGGCCAGAGAAGGACGACGAGGAGTGAAGAGGATGAGGAGCAACAACAGCAGGTAGTTGCACCTACAGGGCAGGGGGAGGGCGGCGCATAGCGGTGTGTTTGGACTGGGCGGCGTGTTCGTAAGCACCCGCGTACAACACGTTACCAGCCAGTCGCAGTTGAAGCGCGTGGTTATGGTGTCTTGTCAACTGTACTTTGGAATAGCCCACTGGGGGGGTGCTTCAGGAAGCTGAGGAGCGGGGCGGGGGAAGGGTGCAAGAAGAATCGAACAAAGAAGGGGAAGGAGAAGCAGAAGGAAGAGAGAGGACAGGCCTACTGCGGTCCCCTACCACTGGCTTGCCGCGTCGGCCCCAAGCACCGTGCAGGGAACACGCGGTGCAGCTCTGCCAGCCCGCTGCCGCCCTCCTCCGCCAGAGCCTTCCGCCGTGGCCAGACGGCCCACCGCCCCACCGAGGCCGGGGCCGCCACCCCGCCACCGAGCGGGCGCAACCCTCTTCGACCGCCCCCCCCAGCACCACCACCACCTCCACCCCCTGCCCTGCCTGAGGGGGCCCGTCCCCGCGGGGTCCCTCCCCAGCGTTGGCGCGGTACGGGGTCTGGCCCGCTTCCTGCCCAGAAGGCTTGTGGGACCGCGTGCCGTGCTCCACCACCTGCGGTGCAGCACGAGGCATCGGAAGGGGAGCATCGGCGGCAGGGCTGCGGCCAGAACGGAAGGGACCCCCGCTCCCCCTCCCCGCGCCCCTCCTCCGGGCCCGCTGGCGCCACGCCGATCCCCCCGCGCTCCTCCGCCCTGCAGGACCCCTCTGGGCCACTGCCGCCCTCCTCCACTTCAGCCTCCCGCCGTGGCCGGACGGCCCTCCGCCCCACCGAGGCCGGGGCTTCTCTACCCTCATTTTCCCCCCTTCCCCTTCCCCAGGGAGGGATCCCCTCTTCCCCCCAAGCCCCCTCCGCCCGCTGTCAGGATACAAGCGGCCAGCGACCCCCACTTAGAAGGCCGCCACCTGCCGTATTCGGCACGACCAGGCGCGTCGGATGGTTCCAGGTGCCCTGTAGAGACTTAGGCCTCGTGGGTTGTGGCGCCTAGTAAACTCCGCATGGCGCCAACATCGCAGAGCGGACTTCGTTCGGAAAACAATAGGATGGGCCCAGAGTGTCCTGGAGAATTTCGCTCCGGATTTCAAAGTGAATTTCGTGCTGATTTTTGGGGGCCAGGAATGAAGACTATAAAACATCCACGTGGAATTCACTTCGTTGTTCGCTCGCTGTCTCGGGGTTCTGCGTTGACAGAAATCCACACGAAAATCCGCTGCAGCACGTCTGCAAGGTCGGCGCAATGACTCCAAAACACTCCTCTGGCCCGGTGTCGCCGCCGCAGCCCGCGCGCAATCCCCGCCCTGGAGCGCACAGCCCCAGCGCTGGCCCGACGGCTCTGCGGGAGCTCACCTTCTGCGCCACGCCAGCATCCACCCAGGCGAGGCTGAACGAGAAGCGCGAGGAGGAAGGGGGAGGAGGAGGAGGAGGAGGAGGAGGAGGAGGAGGAGGAGGAGGAGGGCGGAGGAGGAGAAAAAGAGGGAGGAGGAGGAGGAGGAGGAGGAGGAGGGCGGAGGACGCATTGCCCCTCACCCTTGTCACCTTGAGCTGCGCTACCCTCCTCCAGCTCAGTTCACTGGTGGCGCGCTTGTGCTCTCGATTTTCTCTGCCACCCGCTCCTCCAACAGCAGCGGCAGTTGTCGTTTCTTTTCCTTGTTGCAGTGCTACGGTGGGGGCGTTCGTTAAGGAATGTGCCCGAGAGGCTGTAGACCTTGGGGGGGTCCTTATCCAATGGGGGCGGCGGTGATATCCATGGCCGATCCACGATTGCAGTTCCACTGGCTTCCAGACCCTGGGTTCCTTATCTAAGGGTTCCTTATTCAATGCCCCCACCGTCCGTAGCAATTTTGGCTCAAGCCGGTCTCAGGCCCCTGGCTGCCATCTGCCTCCGCTCATGGCCGGTCCGGGTGCAGCAGCTGCTTGAGGTGATGGCGACGGGAGGGGACCCCCGCAGGTCCCCACGCTCACGCGCGGAGCGCAGCGAGGCTGCGCGGCGGGCGCGCTCGGCGGCGGACGCCGCCGTGCGGCATGCCCGAGCGCGGGTGGAGGAGCTCGTGGAGCGGCTGGCCCTCGCCGAGAGGACGCTGGAGGCCTTCACGGGCGATGCTGAGCTGGCCGACAGGCTCGCCGCGGTGGTGCCTGCGCTGGGCGCGCTGGTCAACGGCGAGCAGCCCTCCTGGCTGGCGCGGCTCAGGAGGAACGTCGCGCTGCACGCCAAGGCGGGCGCCATCAAGGGGCGCATCGCAGGGGCGGCGGCGTACGAGCTCAGGAAGGCGCAGAAGCAGGAGCGCCTCGGGAAGCCCCCCTTCCTCAACCCCTCGGCGACGGAGGAGGACAAGGCGGGGGCCGCGCAGAAGCAGGGGCATGCGGCTCAGCAGGTGCAGAGGATGCTGCACGAGAGAGAGCTGCCCCAGGCAGCGCCCGAGGACGTCCTGGGCGCGAACTGGCTGGCGCCAGGCTGCTGGCAGCCAGGCGACCCCGAGCTGGAGGCGCGGGCCTTCGGAGAGGGATTCGCAAGTGGCTGGCGGCTGGCGGCGCGGCGCGCGGAGGCCTCGGAGGGCCCCCCTGCGGCTGAGGCCACGCAGGTGGTGACCATCTGGACTTGCTGTCTGGAGGCGGGGACGCGGCCCGAGATGCACGGCATCGGGATCGAGCTGCGGCGCCTCCCCAAGGACAACCAGGCCCCGCCCGAGCCCACGGCGGCGAGCGACCACTCGATAGAGTACGGCGTCCGCCTGGGCCCCACGCAGCGGCAGCAGGGCATCGACGGCGATGGCGAGGTGCTGCCGCTAGCGGCCGAAGGCGGGAGCGGCGGGCCGCAGCTCGAGGGCCCCCAGGGCGCTGCGGCCGCCCGCGCCCGCGACCTCGCCGAGCTCTACGCCGCCTTCTTGGAGGAGATCGGGCGCTGAGCGGTGGCGGGGCCCTAGAATGCCTGCATGAAACCGCCGTGCTCGCGCGGCGCCTACACAGATAAAACAATGTCCCCACCGTAGTTGCTGAGCCGATGAGACCCCACGCGCCATGCCAATGGCCCAATGACAGGCAGAGGTAATTGGCGAGGAGGAGAAGCTGCAGCGGCCGCAGGAGCAGTGGCGTGCGATTCGGTGATAGCAGATGCACTTCCGCCCCGGATCCTGACCCGGGGAGGTCTCCAGAGGTCCCCGAGGGTTCCATTGATTCGAGAAGAGCAGCAGCAGCAGCAGCAACAAGCACGTCCAACAGCATTGCGACACCGCCAGCACACTGCATCATCGACCCCTGAAGGGTCGGGGACGACGTTCAGGAGTGCCAGGAGGAAGAAATGAAGGATGTGAAGGAGGAGCAGGAGGAGGAGGAGGAGGACGAAGAGGACATAGGCGGAGGAGAAGGAGAAAGGAGGAGGAGGAGGAGGAGAAAGGAGGAGGAGGAGGAGGAGGAGGAGAAAGGAAGAGGAGGAGGAGGAGGAGGAGGAGGAGGAGGAGAAGGAGGAAGGCTGAGGAAGGGGAGGAGCCGCTGCCTCTCGGGGGGGGGGGGGGGGGGCGGCCTCCCCGCCCAGCTCCATCAGAAGGGGCGGCGGGGGGCCGAGGAGGGCGGACGGCCGGGCGCGAAGCGCGGCGCGCTGGGAGCTGGCACCGAGGGGCCTGCGACGCCCAGCCTCGCAGCCGACGCCAGTTAGGCAACAAGTTGTTCATATCTCACTATTCGAAAGTTATTTAATTTTTGGGGGGCCGAGATCCTTTCATTTCTAACTGTTCTGTCCTGGGCCTCTTCCTGGCCACTAGGGAGCCAAGAACAATTAGGAATGAACACAAGTAGAGGTGAGCAAGATTAGAGATGAACGACGTGTGCGAGATGCACACCGGCAGCACCGACCGCAGGTGTTTGCCGAGGCAACGCCGCGGCGCCTGACGGCGCCTGGCGGTTGCAGCCAGGACCGCGCACAACGTCAGGGCGAGAGAGACCGGATGATCGTCGCAGGGCCCCGGCGACATGCGCAGCCCAACTCCAACGGAACGCATGACCACGAAAGCGACAAGCACGGCATCACGGAGGACCATGAGTGCAAACACATTGTCGTCCAGATCCCTATGCCGCCGGAGTACCGCGGCAGCGACGGCTGCAGCGACCACCGCGACTACGGCCAGCGGCCGGCCAGCTCCCACGACGCCGAGTCCGCCGCGGTCGACGGCACCATGCACCAGCGGAGGCAGCAGGACGAGGTACGCGAGAGGGGGCCAGAACACGCGCACTTGCCCCTGCGGCCACTTCCCCGTCAGCTGGAGGGGGGGGGGAGCCAGGGGCGAGTTCGAGGGCCACCATGCCTTCCCCTGCCTTCTGCCAGCCCTGCTGGCCGCGCGTGGGTGCAACATCACGGTTTTTTTCCAGCAACGGTGCCGAGCAGACGGGCAGCCAGAAGGACCACCGCGCTAAGGAGGCAGGAGGAACTACGGAGGGCGACGCGAGACACGGCGAGTGACACCATGCGATCTGCCCAGGAGTTCGCGGATGAAGGGCTCTGGAGCTCCGACGCGCACGGCGACAAGCAAGATGATGATTGCGCAGTCCGCCGGGCCACCGAGCACCCCCTGGGTACCTTCAGGTGCGGCGACGCGACGGAGCAGCAGGATTCCGCGCCAAGGCGCAGCCAGGCCCCGAGTGCGGCCAAGCTCTCCTGGACACTGTCGATCCGTGGGAGGGGGGGGGAATGGGCGGGGCCGCCAGTGCCCCGTTCGCGAGTCTCCAGGCGCAACAATGCCCTGTCAGGATCGTCTCACGGCTTCCACAGCGCAGGAGGACGATGGAGGTGCGAGATCTGTGACGACCTCACGACCTCGGCGGGGTTTCGCAAGGTGGTGACCTGGTGAATGGGCCGTGGGACACAGGCCTGGCCCCAGATTGCGCCATGAGCCAGCGCGGGATCCGCGTCTTCGACGACATGCCGACGAGGTCGCAGAGGACAGCCAGGGATCAGCCCGTCCACGTCCACGAGGATTGCGAAGAGGACGACGGCCCCTCCGACGACGAAGAAGAACAGGCGGGCACCCACAGCTCCTGGACAAGTCGGATACTGATTGCCCATGGAGCGCCGCCGGGCGCAACCACAGACGCCATGGACTACAGTGACAGAGTGTTGGCTGGACGCGGGCCTGGACAACCGTATCCCATATGCAACCCGAGAGCGCCTCCCCTACAAACGTTACCCTCGCTCCTGGCTTGCCCACTCTGGATCCCGCCCCCCCCCCCCCCCCCCAGCTCCTCTCGCCAATGAGCATCATCCTCCCCCCCCTCCCCTTGCGGCCAGGGCACGGGCTGACAGGGCGGGAGGGCTTTGGCGGCGGGCCGGGGGGGGGGGGGGGGCGGGGGGGCGAACGCAACCAGCTGCGCCGCCACCGCCGCGCGCGGCCTGCTGCAACCCCAACCCCAGCGCCCTAGCTCATCGCTCGCGATGCCAGCGCGCGCGCAACTGCCTGCCGGTGGCGCTCGCCGTCGGCCAGCGGCGACGGCGAGCGCCACCGCGGCCGAGCCGCCTGCGGGCCGCGCCAGGCAGGGGCACACCAGACACGCGGAAAAGAAGAGGGCAGCCGCGGAGGGGGAACGCGGGGGAAGGCCTCAGGCGAACAGAGTCCACGCGGACAAGAAAGGAGGTTCGCCTGGCAGCACGTCATTCGACGACAACCCGCCACGGGCCAAGGCAGGGAACATCGCGCCGGCCTGCAAGGACAAGCAGCTCCTGGCAGGCGAGTTCGGACGCAGCGACGGCCATGATCTTGCAGGAGACGACGAGCCCCCCAGACTGATGTTCGAACAAGGAGACCTCGATTCAGCCGTCCTGAACGGCCATCACCTAGACGAGACAATTCGCGCGTTCTTCACAGCCCCCAAGGCCCGAGCTGGATGTCTCTACATCCCCGAAGGCGCGACCTTGCAAGCCAAGAAGGGAACCTACGGACTCAGCGACGCACCACTGTTATTGCACGAGGAGCATTGCGACACAACCCCATCGCTACTGGGAGAGCTACGCAAGCCAAGCTATGATCTGCACTCTTCACATTCAGGGGCGAGCCTGCGAAAGTGATCCCGCTCACGCGGGTGACGATCTGGTTGTTGAATCCCCAGAGTTCTTCGAGAACCAGGCCGCAACGTTGAGGAAAATGCGCGGCTACGTCAGGTGGCACAGCATCGACCGGGGCTTTCATCACTGCGGGAGTTACCTCAAGCGGATCGACCAGGGCCGCACCTCTTGCACCCAGAAGGGAAGAAACACGCGGAGAGCATCGAGCGTACACCGCTGAGCGCGATGCGACGCAAGCAGAAGGAATGACATATCACAGCAGACGAACGTCAAGCGATGCATCGAGTCAACGGGCAAGCTCGGCGGCTGGTCAGATCGACGAGGATGGACCTCGCATTCAAGTTCGTTGAAGGGCACACGCGAGCCCACGACCCCGAGAGCACCGCGCAGGACATCATGGAGGTCAACAGAAGTGTCGCGGATGCGAAGACGTACTTGATGGAGGTCGTTTTCCACAATATCGACCTGACCAATGCGGGGAGGTCGCGATTGGCGACTCCGGCTTGGCCAACGCGGGCAAGAACAAGACGACCTGTCAGGCTGAGCTCAACATTTTGATCGCCGACAGCGAGAACGACAGGCTCGTCCGAAGCGAACCAGCGAAGGTCAAACCGATGGCATGGAGATCATCGTATCAAACGACTTGTCCGTAGCAACCGGACGGCGGAGACTACGGCAGCAATGGATGCAGGCGAGAGTGGAGATCTGGCGCGAGCTCGTTCTGCGGAAGTACATCACAAGTAGGACTACTGGACACGCGTAACCGATGTGGCGAACATCAAGATGGCACGCGCGACAGACTGCGCATCTCTCCACGATCTACCTCAGAAGCGCGATTCAATTCCCAGATAGCGAAGACTACGAATCGACCCGAGGCGCCTCGCAACGACATCGAGGCGAGGAACCGAACCTAGTCTCCAAGTGGGCTAACACCCGGCATCTGTTGGCCGACTGTCTGACCGAGGGCGACGCTCGGGCGGCTCACCTACCTGCGCTACGCTCCGAGGACGGGCTACTGCAGGCCCGCCGAAGATTCGACGGCTGACCAGGCAGTTGCCGAGATGAGGCGCCAGCGGAAGGGCGAGCGCGGCGAGCACAACAGGGCCAGGCACGCCGAGCGACTCAGGCCGGCGCAGCAGCCCCGCGTCACGGAGGGCTACACGCACTACAACGCGGTGTTGATTGACGTACGACACGGAGCTCACTTGGCCAAAGTTGGAGCCAGGCGGCACCTTCAGTGGCGCATGATGGTCGCTCAGACGGCGGACGGCGCCTGCGGCCGCGCAGTCGAAGACGCAGTCGACTGGCACGGTCTTGGGGTTACTCAACGATGGCGGAAACTGCCCGAGCTGATCAGGCAGCCGATCGCGGTCTACGCTCCCACGAAGGAAGCACATCAAATGGGGTGGCGGTCTCGCGCAGGGACATGCCCTCGCCAGGGGCAGCGACGAACGACTGGGCATAAACGACTCCAGAAACGAGGCCATCGAGTGGCAGGCGCTGGCGCTACAGATGGAGCGCGCGGCTGAGAACAACGACGACATGCTACGAGGAGGCCTACGTGATTGAGGGCGGCGTCGGCTCGGCTTTCCTGGTCGCGGGGGGAAGGCTGGAGCAGCGGTTGCAGCTTTGGCGGCACGCGTTATACGCCGCATTGCGGTGGACGAGTGCAAGTGCAGACCGCGAGTTCGCAAGGCAGTCAAGGAGAAGGAACAGCCGACGCTGCCGCCTCAAGGAGATGGCGCATCCGTTCCAGTTGGTTCGGCAGCGGCCTACTAAGACGAGGGCAACGTGCGAGGCTGGCTGCGCAAACACGCGGACGACGAGATCTCCGCCCCAGCGAGAGGCAAAGGCAAGGCGAAGGGCGTGGCGAGCCCAACTCCAGACAGCACGGCAAGCCCATCATCTTCTACAGGTCCGGAGTCAACAGCACCGACCCGAGGAGCGGCAGCTTCCCATCACGAGTTCTGCGGCCAGACCACGGACACCAAGCACCGCATCTACGACATGGAGACGGTCAAGCGCACGGAGAAGCAGCCGATTTTGAGCACATGTACGTGCGAGCATCGACCAGAGTGGCTCACGATTCAGGGCAGCAGCCAGTTCAAGGAGATGATAGATTGCAGGGCGCACCTACAAGTGCCGAAGGACAAAGGCACACCCGGCTGGGCTGAGGAGAAGCAGAGGTGCGCGGAGGACAAGAGGAGAATCGCCAAGCCGAGATGGCCTGGAACGAAAGGATCGAGCGAGGATGACAGACGAGGACCCGAGGCGGACCTAGGCTTGACCTTGGAGCGCATCCTGCGCCCACAGACTTTAACTTGCCGAGACGAGAAGCGGCAGGAAGATTCGACTGCCGAGACACGGCTGGCTGTATCTTCTGCAGGAACGTAGCAGACACCGTTGCGAGTTAGCGCGCAGGTCCAAGCGTGCATCTTGGAGTTAGGTTAGAAGTGCTTGTGTATACCGGTGTGTTCACGTACAGCGCATGATGCGCGATATGGACAGTTATGCTCAAACTGTTTCAGGTGCCTTGAGCCTTGGTGACCAAAAGCACCCTCTCTTATGCGCTCCCTCGGCGGAGGCGGCAAAGAAAGGACGGCGATGACGGCAACGTCATCAAGATTCTCTCGGACCCCTGGGACCCCGTTGGTGCCTTGTGGAGGTTCGACGACTATCGAGGCTCCTCCTTCGGCGGAAAGGAGGGATGGAGGAGGGAGGAGGGAGGAGAACGGACGGAGGGAGGAGGAAGGAGGGGGGAGGGAGAAGGGAGGAGGGAGACGGGAGGAGGCAAGAGGAGGAGGAGGAGGAGGAGGAAGAGGAGGAGGAGGACGACGACGACAAGTGAACAGGGAGGAAGGGAGGGAGGGAGGCAGGAAGAGGAGGAGGAGGACGAGGAACAGCACAGGGAGGACGGGCGAGGCCCCCGCAGGCGGAGCTCCTGCAGCTCGCCGAGCGCGGGCACGGCGCCGGGCCGGGCGGCGAGGATGTCGGCGTGGGGCCGCCGCGCGTGGAGACGGCGATCGGAGCCCCGGCGGGGAAAGCAGCGGAGGATGAGGAGGAGAAGGAGGAGGAGGAGGAGGAGGAGGAGGAGGAGGAGGAGGAGGAGGAGGAGGAGGAGGAGCAGCAGGAGAAGGAGGAGGAGGAGGAGAAGGACGAGGACGAGGACGAGGCAGGAGCAGGAGCAGGAGCAGGAGCAGGAGCAGGAGCAGGAGCAGCAGGAGGAGGAGAGGAGGAGGAGGAGGAGGAGGAGGAGGAGGAGGAGGAGGGAGGAGGAGGAGGGAGGAGGGAGGAGGGGAGGAGGGAGGGAGGAGGAGGAGGCGGAGAGGAGGAGGAGGAACAGGAGGAGGAGGAGGAGGAAGAGGGGAGGGAGGAGGAGAGGGAGGAGGAGGAGGGAGGAGGAGGAGGAGGAGGAGGAGCAGGAGGCGGAGGAGGAGGAGGACGACGACGACGACGACGACGAGGACGAGGTGCAAGAGCAGGAGAGGAGCAGGAGCAGGAGCAGGAGCAGGAGGGAGGAGGAGGAGGAGGAGGGAGGAGGAGGAGGAGGAGAAGGAAGGAAGGAGGAGGAGGAAGGAGGAGGAGAGGAGGAAGAGGAGGAGGAGGAGGAAGAGGAGGGGGAAGGGAGGAGGAGGAGGAGGAGGAGGAGGAGGAGGAGGAGGAGGAAGGGAGGAGGAGGAGGAGGAGGGAGGAGGAGGAGGAGGAGGGAGGAGGGAGGAGGAGGGAGGAGGAGAGGGACGAGGAGGAGGAGGAGGAGGAGGAGGAGGAGGGGGAGGAGGAGAAGGGAGGAGGAGGGAGGAGGAGGACGGAGGAGGACGGAGGAGGAGGAGGAGGAGGAGGAGGAGGAGGAGGAGGAGGAGGAGGAGGAGGAGGGAGGAGGGGGAGGAACTGGAGGGAAGAGGTAGATAGATAATATATACATAGATAGCAACATGACGTTGTCAATGAAAAACGACGCCCTGCCCCCCAGGTTTCCTCCGCGCAGCCCGTTCAGCTGCACTTCAAGGCTTGGGGGTGACACCACGATGGAAACGGTCAAGGTGTGACTTCGTGGTGTCATTGAGACAGTCCGACCCAAGACACTCCTGTCTGAGCCCCGCTGATAGGTTGATTGTGGTGCAAAACCCGCAAGCCCAACAGATCCAGACCTTGAGTGACTGATGAAACAGCATCCGATGGGATTCATGAGCCCACCCCCCACCCCCCCACACCCCAGCTAAATGCAGCTTACTCTTAGGCCTTAAAGATGACAGAATCGACTGGCTCTAAAGGTGCGCACGGTGAGTCAAGCCATTCTTGGAGAGTAGTTCGGGTACCACTACTGTGGCACGTACTGCACGAAAAGCCACAATCGCTAAGCGTGCGAACACTTCTAAACCTGGCCACTGCGGCAGGGGGAGGCGGCGGCGGGGCACGGGCAGACGGGACACGGTCGCGCGCGTCGGGCGCAACTATCTTCGCATCTTCGCGCTCCGCAACCGTGGCCTCGAGGGTCGCTCTGAGAAGCCTCCGCCTAATCGGGGCAACTCGCCCTTCAACCTCCACAATCCTGGCACGAACACATTCAGGCAACCTACACCTAAGGGCGGCATCATTGGCGATGGCGTCAGCCGCTGCATTACCGTGAATGAGCCAGCCTGGAATTAACTTCTCACACACCTCACGCGCCTCAAGATGTGACGGTATTTGAAGCACCACGATCTCGCTGGGGTCTCGTCGCCGAAGAAGCTCTCCGATCTCTGCCCACAGTCCGTTCATGGCGCTCTTCCTCTCATACAAATACTGCCTGACGTACCAGCCTCGAACGACGTTATCATTATCAGATATGAATACGGTGGGCCCTGCAGAACACCGAATGGCCATCTCCAAGCACCGCAACTCCCCTCTCGGAACAGTTTGAAGACGCCCAGTGAGTTATCTTCCCAGTTGAGGCCCCAAGTTCAAAGAAATTGGATCGGTCATGACCACGAGCCCAAGACCCACGCGCCTCAAGGAAGAAGACCTGCTGTCGGGGCCTCCTCAGGCGTCTCCGAAAATCAGCAGAGGTTGGTCAACCGTCCCAGAACCAAGACAACCAGGCCCATCGCTCGGACCGACAAGACCAACTCCAACCCAATCCTCAGAAGTGGCAGGTGCAGGTGTCATGATTAGCATCCTCGGGATGAGACCTCGATACCACAGGCAACTGCCACTATCTCATTGAGTCAAAGCCGAGGGGACCAGACTTTCGGAATCTGAGGAGGCTTTGGCTCCAGTGTTGGCTGTGCAAAGCCACCCCCGATGACGCATGTCCTCTGGCGCTTCCCGGCACCGAAGGCAAATGTTACTCTGACAAAGCCCGACCTCAGACTTCCGCCGTCGAGTCCAGAACCCTCCTGTGGCTATGCTAAGCATCAGTTCTGCCAGTTGCCGTCCATGCGGTCCAGCTCTGAGGCGCACCAACAACCGCCACACAGAAACATTGTCCGCACCGTACTCCAAGCCGCTGCCATGATGCAGCTGATCCAGACCCTGGCCAAAATCAAACAATAAATCACAAGTGTCAACGTACTGACTGTCGGTACTGCTATCATTTAAAAAACCAGCCTACTGGCTCAAGCCCAAAATCGTCGGGCCGACTCCAGTGCGAAGGTGACTTAGGATCCCATCCAGCGTTGACCATATAAGTGATGGCAGCGGAAATCGGCCCATTCACGTGCTTGCTCCTCTCCTGCACAGTGAGGCTCCGCACGTGCTGAACCATGTTCGCCCAGACTCGTCGAACGCCAGCTCGAATGGACGGGTAATCGATCCATGTCCGCAGCCATTGGTGTAAACACAGCTGCGGCAACCGTACGCCAGGATCTTGCTCGGGAGCACGCACATCTAAGAGCGTCTTCAGACACCGTCCTCGTTGGTGCGCTCCTGCTACCGACCCGAACTGCCTGCGTAAATTCTGCAACCGCCATCCAAACGTCCCATGCACCTGGTGAGCATAGGTGGCCGCTGACTGCGGCCCTGCGAACTTAATACGCTTGGTCGCCTCGTAAATCTTGGAGGCGAAAGCATGTCTTCGAAGTCGTCGATTGCAAGCGGTCGCCTTCTGAGCCCTTTGACTCCGAGACGCACGTGCCAGCCGCCGACCGCCACCCAGATCCACGCCCAGGTAACTCACCTGCAGCACTGGCTGAATATCAATGCCGCGTCGCCGTAAAGTCCGACTGACATGCTTTCTGTCTTGCATGCCGGCACACAGAATAACTTTCTTGGGTGCCAACTTGAGTCCAGCCTTCTGCACCTGATCGCGAATGTGAGAACCACCTTTGACCACTGCCTTACGAACTGCTGCTCTCGAGCCCACATGCCCAACATATAAATCATCGACCCAGATCCGCTGTGATGCAGCTATGCTCGCCGTACACAAGTTTTCCAGGATAAAATAGGTAAGGCACCGTCCGAATCGCACTCCATTTCGCAAACCTTGAATGATGCTGCGAGTGGGCTGGAAAGGTACAGCATGCGCCCCAAAATGGGCCAAAATCCTCGGTGTCATACAGAGTTGTACTCCAAACAGCAGCACAATACCAGGAAACCCAAGTCTAATTGCAGCATCCGAAAGCTTACTCCACTTGATCATGTCATAACATGGCTTGAGGTCTAGAAGCGCACACCCACTGGAAACTCCTAGCTTGGCGTATAACTCCTGATCGACCGCCTTCAGAAACGCCTCCTGCAGTGCCGAATTGTCCGCAACAGCCGCATCCCATTCCGTGGCCGTGTTGGTTGACCAGCTCTTGGTGTATGGTTCTCTGATGAGGGTGTACAAACGGTACACGATGGGAAGCAATCCGATGACGCGATCTCCGCCTGCCTTCTTGGGTAGAAGGCGTCCTAAAACACACAGCAGTTGCGTTGGCCACGTGCCGCTGTCATCCACGGCATTGAGGATGCTGGCGAGGGCGTTATGCCCTTCTGGCGGTAGCCTTTGGATATCTAGAGGAGTGAGTTGGTCGACGCCAAGACCTGCCCGCGCTTTCATCTTAGACGCCGCTTCCCTCACATCGTCGCCGTCGATGGGAGTGAGGCTCTGAACTCGAGCCCATTCTCGCATGTTGGTGAAGGCGGTGTAGACTTCGTCAATGCTGAAGTCGGGATCGTACCATAGTTCATGTCATTTGGTAGCTTTGGCGCCGATCACATCCTTGGGATGAAAAAAGATACTCACCATGATGGAAAAGCTCATCCTGAACCTCTGGTAGATCTTTGCTATTCTTGTGGAGAACTCCTGTGGCCTGAGGGGAACCCACCCATTCCTTGAACTCAGACAGGGGGTGCCTCATCGCCCTCGCAGCTGCACGTTTGGCCGCCCTCTGTGCTAACTGTATGAAGCTGTCGAAGCTCCTGCCCCCAAGGGTGAACCCATTACTCAGAAACGGAAGCCAGTGCTCCCAGTCACCGATGTCATTCAAAGTTAGAGAGGCATGAACTCCTGGGAAATCTGAACCCAACCTGACACCCAACTCAGAACGATAAAGTAACTGCCGCTCTCCGTTACCTCGCTCCCTATGCCGAGACACGCGCACTATCACCTGCGCTACTCTCGCCCACCAGTTGGCAACCTGATCCTGTAAAGGTGCTTCCCGAAAGGTAGCAGCCTGCTGAATGCACTGCTCCCGCAAATATGGATCTGCTGCTCGTGAAACTGCACACAGTGGCTGCCCGTGATGACTGGCAATGGTGGCCTCCACTGTGGAAACCCACCCCGCGTACAGAGCCGAAAGGTGTAGAACGTGAGGCCCTGCCACCATCACCGCCAGAGAATCGTGAATGGCAGAACTGTGCGCATAAACTGCTTTGCTTTAGGAAGAAATGAAGTCCGAGCCGAAGCTAGTTTGAGCCGAAAGCCAACGATCCGACGGGATGTGGAACCCAGGATTCCTGGGAGGCTCCGAGTTTTCACAAACCTGCTCGGCAACGACACCTTGCTCTAAGATGGGACTGCTGCAGCTGGGAGGCTCTATAACATGTTCATCCTCGGACTCGTCACTC